CGTACCTGAAGAAGATGTAATATTGAAGTATGTCCCCTGACCTGAATCCACTCAATTACCTAGTTCGGGCGGACCTCAAGAGGGTGGTCTACGGTGGCGGAGAAATCGACTACCCCGCTGATCTCAGGTACCACATCGCGGTCGCGTGCCAGAATCTCTCGATGGCGTTCGTCCAGAGGGCTGTGGCGGAGTGTCGTGATAGTACTTAATATGCTCTTTAATATAGTAGTAAAAATGTCCGATCAGAATTTGATAAGGTGTAATTTATAGCGCCTCGAAAGTCAATGAGGCAAAGTGACTTTTTTTGGCCCCCCTGTATATGCCTCGAATGAAGCTGTCACGCCAACACCATCAAAATGAATGCTTTCACTAAAGTTAAAATAAAACCCCTGAAAAGTTGCACATAGGCCCTAATAAGAAGCAGGCAGGGTTCTTGGTGGTCGGACAGGTACGCAAAACTACTTCCCAAGTGTGTAGCATGCGTTTCAAGAAAAAGCAAAACTACGAAATGCATCAAGGACTTGAACCTCCGTCTCACTACTATGAAGCTATCCACTTACCTGCTGCGCCATCGAGACACGGCGACATCCGGGTCCAGGGCACAGCATCGTTGTGTCAAGCCCATGGGGGGGGGTCGTAATCTCAAGGGTCACTCAGAGCCGAGCAATGGTCCGACATTTCAGTTGATAGTGGGAGTGGAGCTATGGAAGTCAAGATGTTAAAAAAAATGAAGTTTATTATGAGTGTATTCTTTACAGCTTTAAATGCTACTTTTAACAGCCCTCTTTTCAAGGGGAATCCCCACGAATGGGTTCGTACTTGCCCGCGGGGGACGTGGTGAGTATCGCAAAAGTAGGCTCGATAGGCATCAAACAGTACAAAGGTGTCATTGCTAAGTTTAATGGAACGGACGGAAAGCTTCAGAAGACTCGGATGTAAATAGGAATACAAAATAATAAAAGAAATACTAGCAATATAGCAAGAATAAATAAATAAATAAAATAAGTGTCATTTACAGCATGAACTCGTAAGTAAGTAGATGACAAATAATACGTCTCAAACAGATTCGTGCGTATTATCCTTTCCAAACCCTAAGCAAACATCTGCTTGCACGGATAAATCACCTGAAATCAGAACACCTTTCCACCACCTCTGCGTAGTAGCCTATGATGCACGGCGCACGGACCAAATCGATCAGAGATAGCCGAGCTTCTCTTTCAGTTTGAAGGAAGTATGTGTTTTGGAGGCACACTGAAGTTTCCGAAGGTGTATCCTCACAATGGCACATAAGGAGTCAATTTTCGGGTGGGTCAAGAGGGTGGCGCATCTGTGACCCATCTAAAATATCTCCTGAACTAGTGGTCTTCAGAAAAACTGTAAAGCTTATTGGAAAGAGAAAAGATGGAGGGGTTTCAAGACGATTTCAGTCCTGATGAAATTGCGTTTGAACGAAGCAGTCTTGTGTGAACCATGGAAACCAGCGATTCGCGATTTACCCTGGCCGAAGCGTGACCCATCCGGAATATTTCACCAACGGGGATTGTTCAGTTTGCCAGCTAGGTAGAATACACAATAGTAGAAAGTTTTTCGGTTGCATGCTGCTCACCATTCCTCAAAAAGCTCCGCATCTAAAAAAGATATGACCCCCGAAGAGACCCCAGGACGTTGGCAAGTCCAACACGCGCTCCAATGACGTTTTTCCAAAGAAAGCGGTCGCACCTTGCGCCCTGCAGCCGGATCGACAACAGCCAAGTATGGAACGATTTACTGCTGGCCTGATTATCCTTTTTCCATTTAGCTCCCATTTTTGTATTTTCCATGTTTCGCTTTGTTGTGTCGTGCATGTTTCATTATTTCGCCGTCACCATTCATTGAATGCACATCTGGGCCCTGACACGCTCACCTTGGGGCTACTTTTTTCCACCAATTCAGCCTTCAATGATCACCATTAGCGCTATTTCAATTGTGTTCCTTGTTACAAGTTGCATGTCACACATAGTTATCGAACGAGGAGTTTATTTTTGAATCCTAAGACAAAATTGCAGGTAATGCGAGGCTGTTGTTCAGCCTCATATTGCATGAGGCTGAAACAGCCTTTCATTGCCTGTATTTTAGAGCAGAGTGCGCCTTTCGAGAATCCAGATTCCATTAGGGAAGCCATTTGTGGTGAACATGCCATCTGGTTGTCAGTTTAGAGCAGCGAGGGGGGGGGTCGTATCTGAACCCTCTTCGAGGGGGGGGGGTCGTACCCCACCGCCGTTTGACACATCCCCATGCTGTACCATGTCCGGGTCACGAGGGGTTTACGAGCGCAAAGCATGGGCAGGGGGTCGCACCGCAATGGTTAAGCACGGTAGCAAAAAAGGCCCGTAACTCTGCACCCAGAACCGTTCAGCAGATTTGGAAGTCAGATCTGATATCAGTATCCGGAGGCGCTCCTAGGAATATACATCCATTCTGAATGGCCTGGACGAGTTGGTATCCTTCCCTCGTCAGTATTGTTTGTGTCCCAGCACTGCCCTGCAATACAGTTACTCGGGGTCTGGCACTATGATGAGCAACGGTTGCCTTCTTGTAGTTGTGTGGTATCATCCATTTGACGATATGACTGCCGAGGAACAGGCAATATACACCGACAGCGACTATTTTATTCTCTATATAGAGCCGCCTGAAAGTCACAGTGTGGGAATCCTTCGCTATGATGATCATCCACTTGTGCCCACGTAATCCCTCATGGTAGAAGTCGGGCGGCTTCTCATCTGCATTCATACAAAATTGACGATTGTGAGTTTCGGCTCGAAGTCCAACACCACCCATATTTCATCTAAGGTCGGGGTGCGTTTTCACAGTTGTGAGTGACATCTCATGCTGAGAACATTACTGCTAGAGGTATAGAATCGGTACTGCGTTCGTGCTTCTGTAAGAAAATTAGCTACCCATGCGCACACCCCCTTGACCATTCTCAGTTTATTGGTCATAACACGTACAGTAATTGCAGCAGGGATGTCAGTCTCGCGGGGAAACTCGACAAAGGTCCAGGCTCTGTGATCAGATATTCAGTGCCTGACTTCATTCACTTTTTCCTTGTACGGGATCAACATTATGGGACCATCCAGAACAACAAAATTTTTTCCTCTCTTCCTTCTTCGAGCTCCTGAACCAAACTTTCACTTTGTACTTCAAGAACACCATTATACACAATTACTGGTCCGGTGTCACTCGAAATTGAGCGGCGCACTTTCCTGTTATGACACCTGATTTGAAAAACCGGCGCCGATTTTCACCACTCGGGCTTCTTTTCAGTTTCTCGAGAAGTTCTTCGGGGCTAGATTCGCCAAATTTCACAGATACACAGCTTAAGGTACTAGTTTCCAAATGGTATAGTAGCCCGCTGCTCTATCCCCTTTGCTTTTCTGCCATTCCTCTATATGTAGCGGCACGTTTGAATGGGATGACCTAATACATATCTAGCGGTTAAGAGCGGAAGAATGGACAATAACGCCTACTGCGGTACCTGAGGGAATATCTGCTTGTCAGCAGTAATTTGATAGAAGGGAATCGTGACTGTGATCACATCGTATCTATCTTTGATTCTGTATGAATACCAACTCATGCTTGACACTGTACAGGTTTTAGTGGGAGGATACTTGGACGATGGAAGTGTAGAACGTCTCGATCCTGCAAAAGCAGACGCAGTATGGGAGGATGTCGCTCCGATGAGTACTCCAAGGTACAACTTCATTATGGAAGGATCTAGCAGAAGAAACACGTCGTATTCTCACCTGGCGGATAGATCCTCTGAACTGCGCTGTGGAGGGGCCGCAGCTGTAGAAATGTGCTAAATTCATCACTCAAACGTGCGCTGGAAATGAAGCTGGAGGGTGGCGATAGCTAAATGTCGTTTTGGACCCCATCCTCGATCCATAACCTACGAGATGCCGACAGATGCCCAGGTCCATTGATACGCACGGCAAGCTGCCTATCGCAGCCACGTGAGGAGAGAAACCAAACGTGAGGAGTCGCAGGCAAGTGCGCGCTTAACTATGTAGAATGTATACTTGGTTCTGCAGCGCGTTCCGTCTACGCGTTTTGCAATTGGGAGGAGTTCGAATTACGAGCGACGAATGTGGTTCTACAACTGCGGCCCCATTCACCTCGCCCATGAACAGCATCAGAATCTCTGCAGAAAAGCGTCCAGTGTACCTTTCGAAAAGTGCTCCATTTTCAGACATGGAGCCGGTGTTGCAGTTCTCGACAACTTGCTTTATGCTGTTGGTGGTCATGATGAGAGCATCCATTTGAGCAGTGTTGAGAGGTTTGTATTATTTGCACGATTTTCTGGGATAAAATGCGCGTTTACTTGCATGGTCGCGACAACGCGCACAAATCCTTTCTGAACACTGTAGGGAGGATTTATGCTTAGGAGTGCATAAAAGGCTTGTTGTGGTCTAATGAAGCATTCCTATCCCTGTGTTTTGTCTTATCGCAACTAATACTTTTGTTATCTAGTTCTGATAGAATTCTGAAGAAAGATTGCAGTTTTCTACTGTTTTCTGCTTAATGGGGCTGACTTAACCCAGTTCCGCAGCTATTCAGGCCTTTTGGGAGTAATGCATGCATTCTACATCCATCTATAGTCGTGGTGTACTATAACCTATTGAATAACTCACGGGACAAGTTAATGTGAAAGATGGTTGCTACTTTCCACCATCAGTCTAGTACCAGTTGACCATTACACAGATGAAGAAAGCTTGGTTGGCGTGGGCGAAGACTATTTGACTAGTACCGCGTGCGTGGGGTGGTCATTTGCCTTTAAACCACCATCTCTCAATGCGGCTCATTAGAAACAAAGAAAAACAAATATTGGGGAAAGGAATACACTCAACATCACAGATGATCCGTTTTGCCCGTTATCGTAGACGAATCATCGATGTCTCACCACCCCTCAGGCCCCTCAGTACGATAGAGTGGAGACATGGTCATGGACTACATAGGGGAAGGAGTTAAGAAAGAGGATAGAGCGAGAAAAAATGCAAAAAAGTTGACATACAAAATCCATGCAATAAAGATGAGAAGGAACTGTGCAAGGTAAATGAAAGAAGGAAATAACCGGTGAGAGTACAAGATTGGTGTAAGAGGAAGAAAAATGGATTGTTGTAGATGGGCTAAACAAACTAAGGTAATAATGAGTAAAAGACACTGTCGCAGCGGGATTTACAAACAGTTGAATCAAAAATTTAGTGGTAAAAGGAGGGCTAGTGTTGCCTCGGAAAACAGGATGACTTTTGAAACGAAGCTGTTCTGTCAGAAATGCAGTTAGGAGCAACTGCTACCAAAAGCCTGATGAGGGAAAAAATCTATGAATCTCTCAGAAAACGCTTTAGGTTTCATCCTATGATAAATCAATGGTCGAGTGACGTCGCACGGATGTCCACGCCTCGGAGTGGACACGGAGTAGCTGCGCTTGATGGCTTCATGTATGCTGTAGGCGGCGCGTTTGACGTCCCTCTGGAATTCGTCGAACGGTTAGTGACCTTAAGTTTTTTCTTCTAGGATATCCAGCTAACTGGAACCCTGTTCGAAACTGAAATTACATCCTTTGACTCATTCTCCGTTTCTTGATCCTCTTTTGCTGGATCAGAGCAAAGCAGGATATATTGATAAGCAAGGAAGTATCAAAAGATGAGATGGTCGCCCATTTGTTGCGTTCAGAGCGCTGAGGCTGCTTGCTTTTCTGTGTAGAAATTTATTTCTTTAGCTATGATGCTGAACGAAACGAATGGACTGATGTGGCATCTATGCGAACACCTCGACAAGGGCTCTCTGTATCCGTACTTGATGGCTGTTTATACGCTATCGGAGGGATGGGGCCTGCTGACAGTGCGAAAACTGTGGAAAGGTAGGTATTCGAAGTTATACTTGCAGCCTGGGAGTCCTTTAGATCAGGGCACAGCATCGCGTTGTGAAAATGCGGACAAATAAGAACCCCGGCCCCAATGTTCTCCTTTTGTACGTTCTCACGTCAACCCCAGTATAACAACGTGTTTTCTCAGAATCCTTTCATCGGAGATGGAATAGGGGGGGGGAGGAGAGATTCCCTGCAAGCATGGGCACAATCTGTCACATGAAACGGTGCTTGTAAGATGGTTTTGGAGCGCTACCAACCAGGGTGATATGTGGATGATATAGGGCATGTGAAAGGGGGAAAGCCTAACAAACGGGAAATTGCTCTCGCAACTTGGACTCATTCTTACGACCCCCTCCTCTCCTCGTCGATCGAACCCCTTCATTGTATATATCACAATGGGTGCTGTGACCTGCATTGGTCCACACTGGTCAAGCTAAATATGTATGTAGGGGAAAACAATTACAAAGATAGATTTAACGATTCGGGTTTCAGGTTAGATCCACGAGTTGGCAAATGGGAAGACGTTTGTCCAATGTTGAGACCACGAACTCATCCTGGAACTGCAGTATTCGACGGTCATTTGTACGCAACAGGAGGAAAGGGAGCATCGTCATCGTCATTTGAGAGGTACAGCCCTCGCGCCAATAAATGGATTAAGATACCGGCTATGAAGACGAACAGGAATATTGTGAGTGTGTGCATTCTGATCACGCCACTACACCACGATGACAGGCTGTTGGACAGATTCGTAGTTTTTGTTAAGTTTCACAATGTTTTCTGCACTAAATAGCAAACTGAGAAATTTGCTTGAAACATCTCTTCCTTCTCTACGAGTTTATTATTCCCAACTTTCCGTGATTTACTTTTTTAATATTTGCTGAGAAAGAGAAGTTCAAGAAAGAAAAAACAGCAGTTTAACCGTAATCTTTTCATCGAGCTCAGCGATGTATTTGGGGAAGCCTGATTGTGAGACATTTGGTGTGGTATATAAAGGGGCACTTAAGCTGCACTTGGACTAATGTTATTGAGCGCATCGGGCTAGGAAATCTCCCGTGTTCATAGTCTTTCGCCTTTGTCCTCAAGAACACCCATGGTTCCCCTCGCCCCCCGCCGCCCCCTCCCTCACTCACCTCATGGTCAAGGCACACACCCGCCTAGTGGACGAGCCTCAGCGCACCACAGAGACGTTGCTCACAAGGGAATGATCGAAGTGGCCATTTGAAATGAGATGTGTACCGATTGAAGGGCCTCTGGACGGGGATTACGAATAGTCAATGATATGCGAGTGTGATATTCGTATTCAGGAGCTCAAACCACCCCCGGGTACGAATGTTTGACCAATTCTGCCCACGTCGGTCAGAACTGGCCAGATTTCCTATGATTGAAGCAGTAGGGTAAATAGTGCCCATTCTTGGATTTCTGATTTCTCGATTTCTTCTTTGTCAAGGAGCTTATTTTTGTACAAAAGGAATGTACTACAACGACTGTTCTTGCCGTGATGAATGGCTTTATTCTCCGAACGACATGGTTGGACCCGAAAACACACGAGCGCAAAGATGACTACCCTTCTAAAGGCTTTCCCACAACGTGGCTTTGAAGTGACAATCTTGCGGAGATCACAAGGGGGAGAAACCTTCTTCATCACTCTCATAGTGCTGAAAGTGTTCTATGCAGAAGTGGTGCATTCGCACCTGCTGGAAGTCTGTGACGAGTTCAACAGCCAAGAATGTTTTGCATGGAGCTGTTCACAATAGCTCCATTAGTTCAGAAACACTCTTTGGCGGCATTATTGAGCACAAGATTTATGCAAAAATGCTTTTCAATGCACAGAGATCATTGTAGAAAAAACGCAAACAGAAAACGCAGCAGGGATTCAAACCCACGACCACGAGACCTTCAACCAATCCACTCGGCCACGCCGCTTCGGGCAGTGGAGCTTCACGCCGCTAGTTCGTGTTGAATGCCACCCAATATGGCCCCGTACCTTTGTTCTGAGAGGTCCGCAGCAGATATGGAAGAGGGTTTCGTAATCCCCGTGGAGAAACCTTTCAGACGGTATATATCTCATTTCAAATGGCCACTTCGACCTACCATCCATCCCTTGTCAGCACTCGCCAGACGTTCCTCTTCTCCAACCACTTTTTTTTCTGAAATCCTAAGACCGAGTTATAGAATTTTGTGGCATGCACCGCCTATATCGGGTAAGCCCGCCAACAACGTCTGTCTCTCCCACTTCGTCCGTCAACCTCTTGCTGGCTTTACTCCTTTTTCCCCATCTTGGACCTGCTCTGAAAGTGAATCATGGATTTTTATTGCTACGCGGCTCACTTTCCGTGCATGAACCGCCCACTACAAGCTTGTTACTGGTAATGACGGCACTGCAAGTATGTCAGCTCACAAAACGTGCCGTTATTATCATGTCGGTTGCCGGCTTCCCTCCGACCAGGGGATCGGCTGCTCTTCTACTCAAAAATAGTTTTCGTGACGAAGTGACCCATAAAGTGTGTTTCGAACAAAAACAAACCCCACAGTCAGTAGTGCGTTTCGCATCTAAGTCCGTGCTCTTATAGAGTGTACCACTTGCATCCCTCGAGAGGAGAGACGCGTTGACCTTTGGAGGGGGCTCTATTCTTTTCAGTCTGCAAGACGACGGCATACACGGTGATTCACGTGTATGTATGCTGTTGTCTGTAGCGTCGTAGCACGTCAAAGAGAATCTCGACTTTCAGACTCTTCTGAGAGCCCACAAATTGTTCTGCTCTTCCTAGATACCTTTGTTGAAAGCAAGCAAGTACTAGCTCACTTGTCAGCTAGTGGCTAATGACTGAACACCCACTATCCGTAGTACTTGATCGAGGGAGATTAGCATGAATCTAACTCTTTTCTCGCGTTTTTCTTTACGGCCCAGAAAACAAGCCATCGATCCCGCATTTAAGAGAACAAAGGGGGCTTCTCTAGTGTCTCGAAGTTCATGGTGTTGACTACAATCATTTTAGTTACTGTTATATTCAAAAGAACTTGAACATAAAAATATATGAGAACTTATCCGCCAGCCTAATAAACGTTAGGATGTAGCAAGGATTTCCATTGTAGGAGCGACTAGCTGTCGTCAACGGAAGCTATACGCTATCAGTGGATTTGGTGATACGATAGTCGAAGTTTTCGATTCTGAGATGAACCAATGGAATCCTCACAGCTACATGAATGAAGAGTAAGTTATCAATCCTTATCGAACTTTACTTATTCCGAATTTCAGGAGCATTATTGCCTTGCTAAAGTGGTAGTACCGTCTTTCATAACAGTGTAGGCATTTTCAGACGAGCTCTACCAGAAGTGGGTGTTATCCGGGTGCCGCAATAGTTCCAGCAGCGGATCAAGATGCAAGGACTGTAACATTTTCTCAGTCTTCACTACAGAACGCCGATACCGCTTGCCATTCAAAAAGTCAAATGGCAGTCCCTAGATTTTTCATGTTACCTGAGCTTTTTTTCCTTGCATAATTATTTTGCGTATTATCGTTTCCACTGATATCCTCTATTGATTCTCATCTTTTTTTTCTGCGAAAGTTGCTCAAAGTTCTCGAACAATGAAGCCCTTGACCCTATGTTGCTTTGCCCCTTCTTTTCATTACTGAGTAAACTGAATGGAGAACTGCTAGCAAACACAAAGCGCTTCTAGTGATCTTTACCAGCAACATCACTATTTCGTACCTCCACAGAGCGATGCCAGCGCAGCTCTGAGGAAGGAAAGTTGGGGCTGCGCGGCTGCACGTACATTCCCTCTCACAGAATCCATCGACTATCGTCGTCTGCACCCTTTTAAAACTGACCCTTGGCAGGCAAAGGGGTTTACCGGGAACAGGAGGGAGGGAGGGGGGCAGAACGAACTTCCTAACACTGGCCTTAGGGTCCAAATCACAGGTTCCAAGTTGCAGCGACACGCGCAGCTAGTAGAGTTTTGCCTGCTGCCCAGAAACAACGCGTACGGCCGCTATGTTGAACCAGGCTGATCCATGGTCTTGATACTGCGCACGCAACCCCGCTGCGGCACCTTTTTCTCCACCCTCGCCATAAACTGGAACTAAGGCTTACATTCTACGACGGTTTTAGGAATTACTTGGTGTTCGTGCTTGTTCCATGTTAGAGGACTTGACCATGACTCGAGACGTTTCTTGCTCATTAGATGGATACGTACTTGGCCGATAAGGCCACATATGTTTGTAAACCCACAGTCGGTATGAGCGCGGATAGCTCCCACTCCGTCCACCTGGTAACAACCCAAAACACCGACACGTACTAGCAAAGGTTCTCCGTTACCCTCAGGAACATGCAGTGACTTAACAAAGTAAATTAGCGAATTGACTGCATCACCTCTTATGCCTTGGTTTGGTGAAATCTCGATGGTATGTGCCCAATGACGCTTCCTTTTTTTTGCTAAGGGGTGGAGAGGGAGGAGGGGTGGAGATCAACTTCTGCATCACCCTTTGAGTTCGTGAATTTCATGATAGTGTCAACTACTGGCCTACGTCATTTGATATCGAGAGGAAAGACATGTAAGTCTGCTAGGCGTATGCGCTTTTACTATAGTTAGCTCGGAAAAATAATCTACCCTTACCTCGGAAAAATAGTGTACTCGTGACCAAGCGGTGGGTGGCACTTCCAAACTAATTGTAAGATCGCCTTCATGGCCACTGAAAAATACTGATACTCCTTTCGCATCATTTGCGAAGTGTCGCTTGTTCGCCACAACAATCGGGAAAAATGTGTTCGGCAGAGTGGGAAACCTATCACGCCTGACCCCTCATCGAACACGAACGGGGCTGTACTCCAACCAGGGATGGTTATTGGTACGACGGTCATAGGAACTGTCAAATGGTTACCAAGAGGGAACTGTCCCATTGATTGTGGAAATATCAGGTCACCTTATTCGAAAACGTGGAAGGTCACACTCATATAAAAAGAAGATTGAAAAAGGAAACGGACTAGTAGATCGAAATCTCGCTTTCATGAATAATGACCATCAGCAGTTCCGATGATGCGTTCGGAACTCAACAAGGAAATCCTACACACTACGAAAAGTACACTCACTAAAACTCCACCGTGAATCCGCCGTCACATGCGGATGTTAGTCAGTAGCAAAATAGACTTACTACAGTACCTCCTTATGTGTATAAAGTGAAAAAGACGCACGTAGCATCGGCCTTACAACTCGCAGTACGGTAAAAACGCGAAGGTTCATTTGTTGTAGACGGACTCTCATCTCGGTTAATCATCCTGGGATTTCGGTCGGATCCTATACCGTTTCAAGTGGGGGCATCCGGATATCCAGGAATGCAACACATCCCGCCTTGGAACAGGAACACGCAGTAGTTGGTTTAGCGCCCATTAGCTTCATTTCTGGATGCGCCATGCTTAGGCTCCCACGCAGAGGTAGCGTGATAGTGCAAGTTTTACGCAATGCCTGTCTACGCAAGCAGATGTGTTCCTAGAATACAGGGAGGTCTATGGCTTGCCTGTATTCTAGAAAGCTCTTTCCAGTATTGCTCTTTGCGTATTCATTCCGTATTAATTGTTCGCGGTCATTCAAAGGTGAGCGCGCTTTGTGCCGTGGTATTGAAGCGAGCTATTCGGTTCAGATGCAGTCTCAAGCCTAGTACTCCGAAAGTACCTTTCGCTTAAACATCCTTAA